AGCACACCGCACTATTAATATTCTAAATATGCTACAGTGGAAGGTGGGAGCGGACGATGGATTGATGGAGGGTGGGATGAAAGGGTAGAGCTGAAGAGGAAGGGAAGGAAAGGAAGAAGAGATCAAGGTGAGGAGGAATAAAAAGAGCAAATATGACAAAATAAGTTAATAAAGAGGTGGGGAAAAGGAACTAAAAACAAATCAAGGAGAAGGGAAAAAGAGCAGGGAATGATGAAGCATAGGAGTGACCGAGAAAGTCTAGCACAGTGAAAAAAGAAGAGGTGGATACATCTCTTCTTCACCATCAGTTAAGACCACACAGACCCCAGGCTTGTCTAGACAAAATTCCCTAATCAAGTTACCAGTAATTCCTCCACACAAGCTAGAACACCAGGGTGTGCCTCCTCCTCCAACTCACACACGCACTTAGATACACATTGCCATGACAACACTGACACTGACGGTGTTGGCCAGCCGGAGTGGCATCAACATGGCAGACTGTCCTTGGAGACAGTGAGAGGGAGAGAAAGACAGAGGAAGTCAGAGGGGACCAAAACCAGCCCAGCTTCACTGCTCTGCTAACTACAGCTCCACCCACACACCAACCCCATGACCGGCCTGAAGCTGGAAGAGATCAAACCATTACAGCTACAGTACAAAACATATTAAAAATAGACAATTAAATGGTCTGTTCATCAAAATTACAAAAACATACAGTATCTGTAGTGGTATCAAGGTATGCAGAATTTTTTTTTTTACTTCTGATACAACTGAAATGAATTAAATCTTATTCATGGTTCAAGTATTTCACATCACCTATTGTACAGCCTGCAATCTGTGGTTTGATATTTGTGGACCACATGCACAGCAAATGTTGCAAACATCCAGATGAGACCCTGCACACAGAGTTCTGCATTCTGAGGAGCAAATACAGAAAGAAGGGAAGAAAGGAAATGACAGAGGCCATATATAGTTACAGAAAGAGAGCAGAAGACAGACTGATGAATCACACTAGGAACGACCCCCTCCTCCAACACCCCAATGCGCACCCCACCCCTTTCATCATTATAACTGCTGCTTGTAAAAATAACTGAGTGCATTTGGCCATTTGGCAATGACAAATATGTCCGCACAGTCAGAGGCTCAGGGGCCCGTCACTCTGCTCATTTATAGTCCAAGTTATGTGGAGTGACTCACTGTATAAGGACATTAAAGTCATGTGACGGAGTCCACTGCATTTAGCAGACCCACTGTGACAAACATTACTGAAATTGATAATGAATGCTTAATCACTGCCAAGGAAGCTATTAGACTATGCAGTATGTCTGGTTATAAGAAACCACTCAACTGTTTTGATTCTTATTAAATTTCACTATGTAATGAGGACTGGTGTCATTTTAGTTTAGCCCTCACCTTAAACTGTTTGAGTGATGCATTTTACAATCCTAGCTTTCCTTGCCAATTCTAATTAATATTCACTCTTTTGCCTCATCTCAAGCTTCCCTTCACACTGTCTCCATTTTTTAAGCTTGTCTGTGCCCTTTTATTGCTAAGCCACCCTTCCAGCATGAGTGTGTCTGCAAGGAAGGACATGACCTGTACTGCATGGATCCTTATGGTTTCATGTGTATGGTCAGTCTGTCCTTGAACTATACTGATCAGTGTACTAGAATAAAACACTAATAACCCAGAGGATATGTCTGTGCATGTATGTGGGCAAGTATACACCAATCAGCCATAACATTATGACCACCTGCCTAATATTGTGTACATACAGTAGGAGTCAGTGTGTCAGTTGGTTGGCATTTGTGTCACTCTGAGGCTCACAGTGCATAATCTGTTTGCTTCCATAGTTGTACTGCCTGAAACAGCATGAATTTGTTTATCATCTAGTGGTAAAAATATGTGAAAGGGATGAAAACTGTGGACATGTTAGTGCTAATTTTTCAGACAAATTCAACATCCTACTCTAGGTGTGATATCAACTCTGTAGCCACTGAATGTTCCTCTTCAGAGAGACTAAGAGTATCTCTAATTTTCAACGAGTTTAACAAAGGTTATAATGAATTTTAACCTTTTGAAAAGTACAAATGGAATTTAAAAATTTAATATACAGTAGATCAACCTCATCACCAGTGAGTGTCCATGACCCTGTCGCTGGTTCTCTCCTTAGACACTGCTGGTAGGTACTAACCACTGCAGACTGAGAACACCCACCAAGACCTGCAGTGTGGGAGATGCTCTGACCCAGTCATCAGCATCACAGTTTGGCCCTTGTCAATATCACTCAGATCCTTACACTTGCCCATTTTTCCTGCTTCCAACACATCAACTTCGAGGACTGAATGTGCACTTGCTGCCTAATACACCCCACACACTGACAGGATAATCAGTGTTATTCACTTCACCTATCAGTGGCCATACTGTTATGGCTGATCAGTATATTCTGCTTCTGCTGGTGTATACAGCCATCTACCCATCCACTAATACATTATATCTGTAAATATCTGTCTCTTAAAAAAACAACTACACATCTCATTTAGACTGGTACATAGTAGTTCCAAGTCTCAGAAAAAAAACACCTGCAAAATAATATGTGAATGTAAATGTATGAATAAGTTGATTATAGTTTGTCTGTTTGATTATCCTTTTACTTTCCTGCTTTGACTATTGGATTTATATTTAAAGCATGTAAATAGTGATGTCTGAGTATAGTTTTAGAAGGGCAAGTAAAAAAAGCGGTAGCTTCTGCCTACGCCTTTTGGCTCAGTAAGCTTTATGTATATGTTTGCATGTTTGCTCAAGTATCTACATAAGTATTGGATTTGTTAGTTTGCTTGTTTGTTTTCTAAATAAACTAAATCATGCAAAAGCCAAAACCATGATGCTAAGACAAATTTTACAGTAATGCCTGTTTTGGATTTGTCATTGTTAGATCAGAAAGAACAGAAGTCCAATTATGTGGCTCTCAATGTCTCAAACTGATCTAAAAGGCTTAAAGCTGGCTACATGTGCTAACAGCATTCTTTATTATACCAGATTTAATTACTATAAACCAGATCTAGCTTGACTGGTGGCCTGTCCAATGTGCTTTCCTGTTTTTTGTCCAATATATGCTGGTAGAGGCTCCAGGAAGGAGAGATGGACAATTATCCTTATGTAGTTATAGAACTGTATGTAATTAACTTCAGATGAGCTTGATATGAGATAATAATTATACCACATAACAGCATCAGATATAAAAAATGTCAGTAAGTTAGATTATTTTGAGATCTAATGGTTTGGTCCTGCACACAAATCACATATAGATATACAGTATATTCATCACATAAACAATGGCTAAGAAAAACATGTACAGACACTGAAAGAAGCTGCTTTAAAAAAAAATCAAGCATATAAGTGTGTAATAAACACACCAAAATAACTGAGAACACGGTCTCACGAGTACAAAGCACCCACAAAAAGACCCATTACTGGAAGAGACTTCGACATTTTGTGCAACTGTCCCGAGAGGTCAGAGTGCTTAGCATGGAGGGAAAGGAGCAGCTGGTGACCAGGGTAAAAAGGGGACAGGCGAGTGCTGGGCAATGGCTTGTTGGTATCTGGGCTATATATAGACTAGAATGACCTAAAGTAGCTTTTTTGAGAAACTGTCTACACTGCTAATAATGCTGGAAGGCTAGTTATAACGGAGACAGAGAGCTGGGTGGAAGGTGGTGGTTGCTATGTGCAGTATTGTTATTCATAACAGAAGGATGAGTTAATGTCATGAGAGATTACACATTTCTCTACAGTGTTTCAACTTACAGCCTTCATATATATCCGTAGGGATATGGACAGCAGTGGTGTTGTAGGAGACAAGTCGTTTGAAGTCAGCGTCTGTGTGGAAATCATCTGGAACATATCGGTTCTTCATCTCTGTCTGAGTGCTCTGCAAAAAGTAGGAAAACAGCAAAAAAAAAAAAAAAACAGCCTGAAATTTTGAAGCCAACCTGCAAATCCTTTTTTTTTTTTTTGCTTTAGAGGGGTCTGTGCATGTGTGTACACTCTGAGATTCTGAACATACTATATATGCTCTCACTACAGACAGACTGTGAATCTGAATTTTAAACAGTGAAACATAAATCCAGGCACCCACAGAGAAAGGGGTGAGGGTCGGTCAGTCCAGTGCAGAGTGACACTAGTGTGCTGTGGGTGCATGGCTCTTTCCTACTGGGACAGCGGAGAGGGATTATTGGCTGATCCCTGTTCTGTTCCTCAGAGCAGACAGATGATGTCTGAAGCCAGGGGATGCTTTCAGTGCTTTACGCATACTAGTGTTTCTGAGCAAGGAACCCAAAATATGCACAGGTCTGAATGCATTAAAAACTCCAACTTATAAGAGATACCGAACCATAGTATCACTATAACAACAATAATTCTTACCCAGCACAACACACATACTGTTTTTAGGCAGTTCCAATCTGAGGCCTGAACTAAAATATATGGTGGATTATTATAAATGATCAATAAAATCTATTATCAGGTTTGTTGCCATAGTAATAAAAGTGTGAAGGCTAGATACTGTATGTTGCTGGTGAGGTTGTATTTGAGAATTTGCATCGTTACTCTGAAAGAATATCAGAATCGTGGAATGAAGTTGTACTTACATTTTCTTTGGCATTGTAGTAAACAATTTTGTCGGCCTGCAAAGAGATTGATAAAGAAATGGAAAAATATAACCAATTAATGACAAATAAAAGGGGAAATACTCATCTTTGAAGACAAACTTGATACATGGCTGAAAAACAGATGCAGTTGGGTGTTTAGTTGCATCTGTAACCACCAAGCAGTGATGTCACTATATAAGGACACACCCTGGAGTGCACTGTAACATCAGCAAGGCTGTTATATTGCCTCATAAATGCAAAAATAAATTTCCAAATGGGTACCCAAAAGTTTTCACTCCGATCAAAGATGACATTCCATCTAGCTAGCCTGTGCATCCTGTACATACTATACATACATTCCTTGTTACTTGTCCAAGTGTTTACATAATGAACAAATTAAGACCAAAGACTAAAAGCAAAACGCCCAGCTACAAACTGCATGCTTACTATACCCAGTATCAAAGTATTAACCCTTTTATGCATAGTGGTCACTAGAGTGGCCAGCTATTTAAAAGATGTGTTCTTGTATGTGCATGGGATCTGATTGGGTAGTTGTACAGGGTTATTCAAAAAGAATGAACCGATTTCATTACGCATTGCTTCAGTTCTCAAGCATCATCATGGAATGAGTCTGTGACCCTTTGAAAGAGGAGTTTTCTAAGTTTTGAATGGCCGCTACCCACTAACCTCGATGGCCTTAAACATCGAATAACAACAGCGAACAACTCAGAGGATCGTGATATGCTAATAAGCGGCTGGGAGGAATTCTCTTATCGCATTGATGTTGCCTGTGCTGCAGGTGGTGGCCACATTGAACACTTGTAAGACAGGAAATAAAAGTTGATTGTGAGTAGAATACTTGTGACTTGGCTGGAGTTTTGTATTACTTTTCCTTAATAAAATATTGCGTAATGAAATCGGTTCATTCTTTTTGAATAACCCTGTATATTGTCTACTTCAGTGGAAACTAGTGTGTCATTCCATACTCTGCCACCCACTGGTCAGTCATTGTAAGTGCAACAATAAGTTCTTAAAACCAAGATGACTGACAGAAAGCTGTTTTATTGAAAATAATATAGTTGCAGTAACTTTTTGGCTGTAAATCAATTCATTTATGCTATTAGAATGTAATTAGCAGTTTGTGTAACAAAAACATTTTGTGAAGATAAGTTCCATTATGTGAGTCAACAGATTTGAGCAGATTTTGATGTACATTCAGCAGATCATTCCCTTCAAAGACCACCTGGCCCTCAAGCAGTATATTCCTAAATAAATACATAAACAAACAAACAAACAAACCCCAAACCTTGGGGTGTGGAAGTCTGGGTCAGAGCAGGGGCCTCAGGATACATGTACATACTTGAAGTATATCAGGGTTCATCTAAAGCAGGGGTATCAAACTCAATCACACTGGGGGCCAAAACTCAAAGCACACTTTAGGTCGCAGGCCGAACAGGATAAACATTTATTGAACAGACTAAAACATAACGTTTTTGAACATAAATATGAATCGAAACAGACAGGATACAATATTATTCCAAAATAAATAAGCCTGAACTTCAAATCAGCAGCCATATTTCTGCTAAGGCTTACATTTACAAACACCTGCTTTTTGTCTGGAGACAAGACGTCTCACACTTTCATCATGCAGCTCTTCAGAAACTCTCCCTCGGTAAATGTCCGGGCTGATTTTCTCCTCAATAAAACTTATTTCACTTTGGTGAAAACGTCTGCTGTGATGTCAGATTCCTCT